ACACCAGAACAGTGAGGGGGACACACCGGAACAGTGGGGGGAACACACCTGAACAGTGAGGGGGACACACCTGAACAGTGAGGGGGACACACCTGAACAGTGAGGGGGACACACCTGAACAGTGGGAGGGACACACCAGAACAGTGAGGGGGACACACCTGAACAGTGGGAGGGACACACCGGAACAGTGGGGGGACACACCTGAACAGTGGGGGACACACCTGAACAGTGGGGGACACACCTGAACTGTGGGGGACACACCTGAACAGTGAGGGGACACACCTGAACTCTGGGGGGACACACCTGAACAGTGGGGGACACACCTGAACAGTGAGGGGACACACCTGAACAGTGAGGGGACACACCTGAACAGTGAGGGGACACACCTGAACTCTGGGGGGACACACCTGAACAGTGGGGGACACACCTGAACAGTGAGGGGACACACCTGAACTGTGGGGGACACACCTGAACTGTGGGGGACACACCTGAACTGTGGGGGACACACCTGAACTGTGGGGGACACACGTGCAGCATGAGCTGCATGCACCCTGCCATTGACTGAGCACATCACGGCAGCAGGATGTGGCCCAGGCCTGCAGTGGTTATTAATAGGGAGCCGGCATTTCCAAGACAAGAATAACCTTGTCCTCTGAGCTAAGGAAATGTGAAACCGCACATAAAATACCTGCAACTATCAGCCGAGGGGAGCAGGCCTGTGGTCACTCCTCGCCGTTTCCACGGCTTGGGTCGCAGGGCCTGTTCTGGGCACTGGAGGCCCAGATTCCAGTCTGGGGTGTAACTCAGCCACAGGAGCCTGGGCTGCCGGCGACAGGGGACACGGCTGGGGGAGAGGGCCACGTGAGCTTGTGATGGCCTGCGGCGTCCGGGGAAGGGGGAGGGCAGCGTCACCCCCATCCTCGCGGGAGGCGGCAAAGGGCAGGCGCCCCCGCCCCACAGCCACCATCCCTGCTATTCAGAGGGGAGCCAGGGCCGCAGCCTCGGGGCCCCGCTCCTCCCAGGTGACAGGCGTGCTCACCTGCTTCCCAGAGGCTGGAGGCCAGAGAACCACGACAGGGCACTGGCAGGTCAACTCAGCTCACAGCGATCAACCTCCAACGCTCTTGCACCCGTTCTTGTCTTTTCCTTGTCCAGTGGTCGGCAAACTCATTCGTCAGCAGAGCCTAATACCAACAGTACAACGATTGAAATTTCTTTTGAGAGCCAAATTTTTTAAACTTAAACTATATAGGTACGTACATTGTTATTAACTTCATCAGGGTACTTCTAAGGCTTAGGAAGAGCCACACTCATGGGGCCAAAGAGCCGCATGTGGCTCGCGAGCCGCAGTTTGCCAACCATGGTTCTAGATCTAGACCAAGTTGCCCTTGAGCACCTGTGCTTCATTTCTGCACTTCTAACAATTCAACAATTCTCCAAACAGGCAGTATTTGGGGAAGAATGAGATGCTGAGTATCCACCTGACCGTTTTTTGCTTATTGCCATAAGGATGTTTCTTCAAGGAATAGTCTGGATTTGAATTTGCTTTGTAGGGTGTGTATGGGCTGTATTGTGTCTTTCCCCAGGTTTGCATGTTGGGATCCTAACCCTAGCACTTCAGGATGGGTCTGTCCTGGGAGACAGACTTTAAAGAGATTTTAAGGTAAAGAGAGGTCATAGGGCGGCCCTGACCCAATGTGACTGGGGTCCTTATAGGCCAAGAACATGACACAGACACACAGAGAGACGACCGTGTGAGGAAGCAGGAGAGGACGAGAGGCCTCCAAGCACGGGGGTCAGATGAAGAAGTGGGGAGACAATATTCCAGGGCCCGGGACAGCTGCCCTGGGCATCGCAGAGGGTGGGAACGGAGAAGGTGGCATCAGGAGGGTGATGGACACTGGCTGAGACCTGGGCCCTGGGTCGGCCAGGCGTCTGGAGCCTTGCTGGCCAGGTAAACATCACGCAGCAAGGCTGCCTCTACCTGAGACCTGAGTGCTCCCTCCTTCACCCCAAAGAGAGGGGCACAGGCTGGCTCATCGCAGTCTGTACTCGTCTCTAAAATGTGCATGTGGACCCTCCAGGGTTTTCAAGGGGAAAGAGTAACTGAGGACACCGGCCGGGGAGACTGCTGTGCGGGATGACCCTGCCCCAGGCAGCCTCTGGCCGTGAGCTGATGTGGGACACGACTGCCTGGAGGGGACATGGTTGTGGAGCTGCCTAGGAAGCGGCCCCCACTCCCGGCTGGGCAGCTGGGTGCGAACTCGCATCCCTCCCTCCTGGCCGCCAACTCCCCCGACCGCGCGCTCGGCAGCCTGGTGGATGGAAGCCCTCAGGGTGTGCCTTCTCGGGACCTTTCCCTGCAAAATCAGATGAATTAGTGCAGGGCCTCGGCACCAGCTGGACAATGGCGGTCTACTCTCCCGCAGCTGAGCATGAAGAGGCCCGTGGACTACCTACAACCCGTCGTGCCCAGCCACTGAGGACCGGTGGCCCCGGGCTGTCTGCTGGCTCGGTCCGTGCGCACGGGGCCTCACGGGGTAGGAGGCAGCCTGGGACCCATGAGGTGCTCCACCCAATGCACTTGGGGCCTCCAAGGTCCTCAGACAGAAACCTGACCCACTCTACCCCAAGGTGGAATGCCTCAGTTTGGAAAAAGAGAGAGGTCTGATATCAAACTGAGTTCACTCTCTAAGTCAAAATGGACAGCCTTGGGCTCCTGGCCATGACAATGGAGGCAGTGGGGGGACTGCAGAAAGAGCCCCAACCTGAGTCATGGGGCTCAAATGTCTACTTCATCCTCTGCCCCAGAGGGCAGTACACCGTCTTCCTTACCTCTGCTTCCCTGATAGTCCCAGGGGAAGTTATTCTCTCCCAAAGTAAGTGCTAATTAAACGTTTGCAGACCCTGGCCGGTTTGCTCAGTGGATAGAGTGTTGGCCCACAAACTGAAGGGTCACGGGTTTGATTCCCAGTCAAGGGCATGTACCTCTGTTGCAGGTTTGATACCCAGCCACGGTGGGGGTGCATGTGGAAGGCAACCAATCGATGTGTCTCTCTCCCATGGATGTTTCTCTCTCTCTCTTTTCCCTTCCTCCCTCCCTCCCTTCCACGCTCTCTAAAAAAAATAAAAATAAAATCAATGGAAAAAATATTCTTGGGTGAGGATTAACAAAACAAAACAAAAAAATAGCAAAAAATAAACATTTGCAGGATGAATGAATGAGTGAATGAATGAATGAATGAATGAATGAATAGATCCCAGAGGACCAAGAAGGTGCTAACCCTCAGGGGCCTTGAGGACAAGCAGTGACAAATGGGTCCTGAAAGGGCAGAGGCCGTGTGTCAGGCGAGGGTGGCACTGGCTCGGCCCTACTACCCACTGTCCCATGCACAAGCCACTTCCATCCACAGGGAGAAATGTGAGGGCAGTTACATTGGTCTGAAACTTTATTCATGGGCCCCAAAGCTTGAATTTCATGTCATTTTTGCATGTCATGCAATATTATTCAACTTCTGATTTTTTCCCATCATTTAAAAATGGAAAAACTCCTCCCAGCTCAACAGTCACATGAAAGAAGTACATAGCCAGGTGGCTGACCTCCAGTTCCAGATGGGGCAGAGCAAGGTCCCAGAAAACCCTGGGCCCTGCGGAAGGAGAGAGGTCGGGTCATGCATTTACCCCAGATTTCCGCCACAGTGACGAGCTTCTCTGTGAGCAACACAGACCCTAGCCTGTGGCCGCCTGTGAAGCCATGCCACTGCCCAGATGCTCACCTCCACGTGCCTCCACCCACTCCAGGCCCACCCCCCATTGCTGCCTTGAGCTAGAAAGAAGGTCCAGGCGTCATGTTCCTGAGGACGCTGAGGTTGTTTGTTACGCAGCATAAACTTGCCTCACTGTAGCTATGACCCTGGTTTCCATGTCCTGGCTTTAGAAATTATCTCTCGATTGCAAATTCAGAAGGAAGGCTGTCCTCACTGCCCCGCCTCTCACTGCCCCTAAACCACGGAACAACCACGTTTTGCTTACCCTTGTAGATGTGGAGGCTGCACTTCTACCAGCTTCACAGGTACCTCTTGATTTTTCCACTCTGTAAATCAGGGTGGCTGCTCCTGCTCTCCCCACAACTTTTGCCAATTATAATTTTACTAGAGGCCCAGTGCACAAATTTGTGGACATTGAATGGAAATTAATCAGAAGAAATATTTTAATATCACTATTCGCCCTTTCTCTAATAGAAGTGTCAACCGAATTCACGATCGGCAATGACATATGGAAACCCATGAGTGCGATTGGCGCCAGCGAGAGCTTTATATGTATCACACATGCGCGAGTCAACTTACCCTTTTACACATATAGAATAAACTTGCTTATTAGACCTGCTTTCTGATTTAACTGAACTTTTTCCAGCTCAGTGAAGCACCCCAACTTCTCATTCAGGTAATTGTCAGCAACACAGCAGTAAATATCAACACAAAGCAGATTATTATTGTAGATCGTGCAGGGAGAACAAAGGGTAAAATATTTAACTGCAGCCGTGTTTGACTATATTCTGTGCAGTGAGAAAACCTGAAGTCATTTTCAAGGTCCACCATTTCTTACTTCTTTTCAGTCAGGTCAAGTTTCTAAGCTTTCTAAAGCTCCATTTGCTGGCTAATGAAAAGAAAATAGGATTCCACTGAGGAGTCTCCTATCTACCTACTCCAGGACTCCTGTGAGGATCAAATGAGATGAGGCACGGGAAAATGCTTCACAGACATTTGGTTAAAGTGTAAAATGTTTCTACCTGGCTATAAAGCAAGTCATGTTCCTGGACTGAAGAAACTCCAAGGAGGCTAGTCGCTAGGGAGAGGAAGCCGGGCGTTGCTATGTGACGTCATTACCCGGACAGACACTTAGCATATTAGCCTTTTATAAAGAGAGATTTTTACACTGTCAGGAAGGCTAGCATCAGCATTCAATCTTGACACCAACATGAAGTATTCCGGGCTTTATTCCATTCAATAAGATAAATAAATGTTTTTAAAACATTGAGTGCATTTCCATGATTATGGCTGCATGGAGATTGTTCCTTCAGACAAGTGGTCTGGTCCCATTGACTTATTCATGGGTCCCCCGCCAGGATCCCCTGGCAGTGGGTGACTCTCCCACATGAAAAAGGCATTCTTCCGAATTTCCGCCAGCAGCCATGTCATTACAGATGCCTGTTCCCGCTGCTGGCGGGAGCTGGGATAGTGCTGGGTGGGGGTGGGGACAGGCGAGGGGCAGAGTCCTGAGAGCCCTGGACACACAGACACGGTAGCTATCTGTCTCCAGCCTCAGCTCAGAAGTCTGCCTGGCCACTCAGACCCGCTCCACTGGGGACGGAGGTGGCCGCACGCCAGCACCCCGCAGGGTGGCTCTGGCCACCTTCATCTTGCAGGATTTGTGGAAACATCTTCCGTGCTGTCACCCCCTTGGGATCCATCAGGTGTGGGTTCGTTCCTTTGTTGTCATCACTGTCCCTTCAGCAGGAGGGAGAAGCCCACAAGGACTGCCAACTTGTAAAAATCATCACCATCTCCTACGAGCACCCCGGGCCGGGGCTGCAGTGAGTGCACTTGCATGCGCCTGGGGGTGAGGCGGGCCTGTGGGAGCAGAGCTGGGCAGAGCCGGCCGGCAGCTCCAGAGACGCTGCGGACGGGAGAGCAGGGGGCAGATCTGGCCTCTCGGCCTCCCCTGCAGTCTGGGTGTCCCCCACTTCACACGGCCAGTGAGGGGCGTTCCCAGCACACAGGGAGGCAGCTGTGGGCATGTGCCCCCGGGTGAGGGTGACTGGGAGTCCTGTCTGTCCTCAAGAGGAGCCTGTGGCTACCGTCGAACCCCAGTGACACCTGCTCTCCCTTGCCCGGTCTCTCATCCTCCTCCTCTCCCCTGATTCCTCAGACCACCCCCGAGTGAACCCTTTTCCCAGGCCCGCCCCAGGCTCTGCACAGGGTGAACCGTGCCGGGCGGCTGGGGAAGAGTGTGCAGGGGTCTCGGGAGCCAGGTCCGGGGAACAGGTCCGAGTGCGGTGGTCAGGACATGAGGACATCTGGTCCTGGGGGCAGGGCTGGGGAGGGGCGGTGAGCAGTGACGATGGGCTCCATTGCTGGTGGGAACCCTGTCCCTGGAGCTCAGGAGGGACCGTCTGTGAGCCCTGAGGTGGGACCCTGTTCAGATGATGGATAAGACCAAGCCATCCAAGCCCAGACCCTAGAGACCCAGAGCCTTCCAGCCAGTGCGGTGGGCCGCCCCCGGGAACCATGTGGGAGGGCGGGCTGCGCCCTCCACATTGGCATCACGCAAAATCTAAGTCATTTTCAAGCTGAAGTTTGCATTTAACTTTTCCTTAATTGTAAATGGGTTTAGGGCCCGTCACAGGTAACCCTGCAAGTCATCACCCGCAGGCCTCTTGTGTGAAACAGTGGCGAGAACCGCAATCGATGGACATACATCAAGAGTGAGAGGTTTATGCGGGGCGAGACAATGGCTCAGCAAAGCAAATGTTTGCCTTCTTTAAGAATAGCATTCTCATGTATAAAGTATGAGTAATAAGATCAATGCTGCTGGCATCAAGCGGCCGCGGGGGCCTCTGACAGGTGACTAGATAAGAAGGGCCCACGCCCTCTGCTCGGTAAACAGGTGCCCGGGGCTTCGGTTCCTCGTGGATGGCGGGTGGAGGTTTCCGAGAGGTGCCAGTCGAAGATGAGCTGCAACTGCACTTCCGTGAGAAGCTGCCCCTGACGAGCCCGCTGTCTCCCTGCTCAACATCAAGAACTGTTTGTCGGCTCCATGATGATGGTCCTTCCTGTAAGAACACCGGAATTTCAATAGGTGAAATGGGGCCCAGGGGCCCATGCCTATTTTGGGGTGCACTGAAGTGAACGGTGGGAAGGGTCTCCCCCACTGAGGTGGGATGTGGCGTGTCTCCAATCAACCTGACTGCGATGCTATGAATGAGGTCACTGGCACGGCGATGGCATGCAGCGTGTGGCAACGGTGGACTTTGGAGACCTGGGCAGGTGTGTGGCGGACCCCTCTCCCCACGGGCACTAGGGGTGCGCTGGGGGCGGCAGAATGGCATGGCTAACCACCCACTGTTTGTAGGGCTTTCTGAGGGCTGCTCAGAGGTGCCAACCGGAAAGACAGATGCATCAAAATTGGAGTCACTGCTCTGAGCAGGAACTCCACCGCGTGTGATTGTCATTGCACCCTGGCCACGCGTCCTGCTGCCGGCCTGGCTGCCCCGCCTCCTCCCTGGAAGATGCAGACCCCGCTGTCCACACCTGGGGGCCTCGCCTCCTCCCGTGGTCTCGCAGGGCCTACCTGCTCCGCTTGGTGGCGAGACCAGCCCAGCAGGAACCCCAGCGACGGGGGTGGCTGGAGGAGACCCTCTGACTGAGAAGCAGCCCGGGCACTGCTTTCGGGGCCAGAGCTGGAGGAGGCGCCTCCCAGGCCCCGACCCAGTAGGTCGCCCTGTGGTGGCACATGTGGGGACACCCCCTCACTGCCTCCCGGGGGTGACTGAGGAACGCACTCTGATGGAGCTGGGCCTTGGCAAGCCCACGCGGGGCTGGCTGCCAAGTGCTGTCCCAGCAAAAGGGCCGTTTTGCAGGAAAGAGGAAAAATGATTGCAAATATGAGCTGACGTCAGCTTTGTCTTTGGAGACTGAAAGTTGGTGGCAGGATGAGGTCATTGGAACAGGCTCTCTCCTCCTTCTAAAGTCTTCCCATTCCCTGGACAGGAGCCCTCGCTCAGGGCCTCCCATGTCCCAGCGCACCCAGGGCCGGAAGCGACAACCAGCCCAGAAGGCAGGGCATCTGCTGCCCCTGCCAGAGCAGCCCACGCCAGCCCCACAGCCGGTGCCACCTTCGAAACGTCGGTGTTTCCTGAGCCTGCGAGGGGATGCTGAGCCTGGTCACTCCCTCCAGCGCGGCCTCGACTCTGCCTCATGTCCCTTAGCTGGTGACATCCCACAGCCAGCCTGGCCCCGGGTCCAGTTTGCCCACATCAGACCACAGATGGGTCATCCCCGGGGAGAGGGGCAGGAGGGCCCCTGTCAGGGAGGGCGGGGCAGGGGCGAGTGGTCTGCTGCGTGTCCCAGGAGCAGCCAGCATGGAGCTGGGCCAAGGGCCACCAAGCAGTGTGGAAAGAACTCAGAGAGGCTAAGTGCCGCACTCAAGGCCACACAGCTGGGTGAGGAGGAGCGGGATTTGAACTTGGCTCTCTCTGGCTGTCATGCTGTGGGCATGGGCGCAGCCCCCCCAAAGAAAGTAGAGACAGTTCCTGGTGTGGAAGCCCTGAATTTAACCTTGGCCTTTCTGCCCAAGGTCTGGTCAGCCCATGTCACCCCAAAAAGTCTCCTTGGGGGTAGGCAGAGGGGAGCAGAGAGGAGGGGACCAATGTGACCAAAGCTGGGACAGGAGTGAGGGCCCGGGAAGAGAGAGAAGCCAGTAGCTGAGAGGTGGCAATGTGACCTCACCCAGAAAACATCTCGTTCCGAGGAGGAGCAGCAATGTCCCCTGGAGAGACATCCCGGCAGGTGGAGTCTGGGGTGCTGGGTGCCCACCACCCTGAACCTTGATGTAAATGGTGTACAGCCTCTCCAGGTCTCTGGGGCCTTGCCCCAGGTGCCCCTCCATCAGGATGAGGACCCCAGAAATGGATCATGTTGGGGAGACTTATTAAGTAACTTCCTTCAGAGGTTCTTGGGCCTCCAAATGGAGAACCTGGAGCCCATCCTGCCTTTCGGAGTGGGGCACGGGGGGCAGGCCTCAGAGTGGGGCACCCAGAGAGGCCGTGGTTAATCATTGATGGGCATGCGAGGCCCTGGGCTTTCAGGGAGGTGGCAGTGGGCGGCGGCAGCCAAGGGCGGGCCGGCGGCGGGCACTCAGGAACCTCTCGTACCTCCCACCCAGGGCACCAGGGCCGCTCCTCCGGCTGAGCTGAGCTGGGGGAGAAGCAGAGGGCAGGAAGGGCGGGGAGTGTGAGGTGAGGATGAGCAGGGGCACACCCAGGGGCCCCCAGCCACCACCAGCAACAAGGGCCAGCGAGGTCTTCAGGGGCACCCTCTAGCCCACGTCCTTGAGCCGCCCATTGTGTGGCCAATGCCCACACCAGGAGTATGGGGGTCCGTTCCAAAGTTCGATGACTCCCCAGTTTTCCTGAGCTAAGGGGTGAGTTAGGGCCGGGAACGGGCAGGTGGACAGGAGCTAGCTGCCAGGCCGGCAGGCCCCTCGCCTGGGCACCGGATCTGCCTCACGCCCCCTCAGCGAGTGACCGCCGGCTCCCGTGCCTGGGAGGGGTGCTGATGCTCACGAGGCTGAGGACACCCTTGCTGCCTGCCCTCCGATGCCCAGCCGGCGGGACAGTCCCGTGTCCCTCCAAATCACAGGCTTATTGCATCCCATGCACGTTTGCTCAGCTCCAACCGAGGCTGGGGTCTTGAGACAAAGGCCTGACACAGGAGGGCCCTGTCCTGCCCTTGAGCACAGGCCAACCCCCCGCCACCGCCCGGCACTGTCATTGCCCACGGTCCCTGCAGCTCCCAGGCTGTGACCTGGAGACGCACACAGGCGCGCCTGCACCTTCCTGGGGGCAGAGGTCACCAGAAGCGGGTGTGGGGCATCTGCTTGGCCCAGCCGCCAGGAAAAGGCTCCGAATGTGCCTCCTGCATCCCATCCCGCAGCTTCTCCCTCCGCTCTGCCCGCTCAGCGCTGACCATCCTTCAGGTGAAACTCCTTTCGGGCCGCACGGCCGCCCGTCCTAGATCCCCAGCCCCAGGGACGCCCAGCACTTGCCACCTTCTGTCCCGGGAAGGCCAAGGCCGCCACCGCCACGCCTCCTGCTCTGCTGCAGACAGTTCCACAGCAAACGGAAAGTGGGGGAGGGGAGGACCTAATTATGACCCTGGGCAGCACCATGCTGACTGGACGGTGATTGGAACTCACACGTTCACTTTCAACGTGAAGTTCTCAGGGAGTAAACATGAATGTTCCTTCTCAAAAGCGAAGGGCAGGGACCAGGGAGCCTGCCTGAGTGCCCGCCGAGCCACCGTCCCCACGGGCGGGCCTGGGGAGGCTGTGCCGGCGACTCCCCGTGTCTCATCAGCAGCAGTCAGTCGCCAGCCCCGGAGCTGCCAGGGACTCAGAGGCGATGAAAAAGCAACAGCTTTAGAGACAAAGGAGGGGAAACCAATACAGTTTAACTTCTTGTCCAAACAGACAAAAGGCCATTTTGATGACCAAGTGGCCTTTACTCCTGACGGCGCGGCCAGGGTCCCACAAACAGCTGCGCACCTTGGGTGGGGATGCAAGTGTCCACCGGAGCCCAGGCCTCCTCGCGGGGCCCTCCCGTCCTCCCTGGAAGAGCAGGTGGCCCCTCAGGGACCTCGCAGGGAGGGCCGGGCCTGGGCCACAGGCCAGGAATGGCTCCAAAAGGAAGCCAGGCCAAGCGGGCACAAACCCAAAGTCATGTCACCTGGAGGCCAGCCTGCCAGGTGACATAGGAAAGCACGAATGGGAGTGGCAGCGAAGAGCAGAAAATTTCAACATCAGTGGAGTCCAGAGACCAGGGATTGTTCTCGGGCCAGCAAGCCCCGTGACACAGTATGACAGCCCCGTCCGCAGGGCCGGCCCCGTCCATCATGTAATGGCGGCACCCACAGCGAATGGCAGCGCTAACAAGCACAGGCTGACTGTAGTCCACACGAGGTCCACGCACACCATCGCGCCTCCCGAAAGCTACGCACGATCAGGAGCGCACGTGTTTCAGATATTCTCAAAGTGACCGATGTTTGTTCTCCAAAGGCAGACGCCCTTTTCAGAGAAACCAGAGATGCCAGAAGCCACATCCAGTGGGTGACCAGTCCCACCAGGTCAGACTGCAGCGAGGTGAGCAGCAGCAAGGGCGGCCACTGAGCGCCTGGTCATATGAGCTGGCTTCCTTACTGGGATTGCATCCATATGTGTGCACTTGTGTGTGCATGTGTGCATGTGTGTGCCTATACACTGGTGTATGTGTGTTGTGTGTGTGCATGCACATGTGTGTCACACTTGTTTTGAGGCCATTGTGGAGTGAACACACCCACAGTCCGTGCCTACGAGTATCACTGGGACAGCATTCGTCCTCACTCCTTCGGAAGAGCCAATGAGTCTCCCAGTGGGTACCTTGGGTGGTTCTGGATTATCTCGGCGCTGCTGAGACCAGAACCTTCCTGAATTGGGCAGAGATGCACACACACATAACATACACTTAACGAGTCTGGGACTGAGAGTGGGAAACGGTTACAGATTCTGTAAACATCTGGGTTCATGGGCCCACAAGGGACAGAGGCACAGAACTTTCCAGTGGGGGGGAGGGGGGTGCCGCCTCCTGGGGAAAAGGCTCCCAAAGACCCCAATCTGCCTATGCTCAGACCCCAGCCTTGAGCACAGTCCAGAGTGTGAGCCTTAAAGGGTCCTGGGGTTGGAGTCCTCTGTCAGTGCGAAGAGCTGCCACGGCCTTGGTCCGAGGCGGGAGAGTGGCCCCCAGGTAAACAGCACCTCTGCCAGCGAGGCCCAGCCTTGTGTATAGTCAGTGAGTGAGTGAAGTAAGATTTCCTCTTTGGTAGCGTCGCTGATGCAACCGTGAAAACACCCCGGCTGTGGCAATGGCATCTCGAGAGCAGGCCTGAGGCCACAGCTCAGCCCCTGATGTGCTCCGTCTCCCTGACACAGGGACCCATGGGTCCCCAGGCCTGCGGCTCTGAGACCCTGGAGCCCACGGATAGAGCACCGAGTGCCTGACTTGGTGTAGCATATCTGCAT